TATATATATATGACCGGTTAAATATAAATAGTTATGAAGGATGTATGATACACTATGATTATGTGAATATATGATATGTTATGACAACGGAAAATGAAACGCTTACCTTATTTTGTGCTTTGATGTGATGTGGATACTTGATATTGGTGAAATTGGATGGGAAAGTTGTGAATTTGATGGCATGTTAATGAATTCATTGAAATTGAATACTTGCAAGGAAAATGACTAAAATGGAGAAGGCATTGGCAGTGCAATGAGATCTTATTGAAGCTTGTTCTTAATCTACGCGAATCAGTTAAACAGTGTAGGATTATTCCGCACAAAAAGCTGCTGCTCTATTACACGGGTACACTATTGCGATCGCTGAAAGCCGCACTAAAACCATGTCAACGGAATGTTGGCAATTTATATAGTAAAAACGGCTCTGGTCATGAACTGAACAATTTCATGGATTACTATCATTATACAGTCAAACAAAACTGAGAACAACATAAGTCATAAGCACCTGATCTTAAGAGAAATGATCAGTCAAAAAACAATGAATCTCTGAGTTGAAAGGGGAAAATATGTTATTAATTGGATTCGATACCACTTAAAGGATTTCCAGCACGAGCAATTCGGCATTGAACCGTGCACATTCGTGCTGATCATTTTATTTCTATTTACCAGTCAGTTTTGTGATAATCTTTTGCAAAATTGTTCATTTGTTTACTCGTCAAGCCCATTAATATGCTATAATCGCACATTTCAATGATTTATCTCTGAAATGGGTAATGGAATTTTTGAGTAGGTTGCGAATTATTCAATGCAAAACTGCACTCAACGAAACGCCCGGTCGCTATATTTGAGACTGTTATGCGATAATAATTTCTTCAAATGCTATTTGATAAGATGTGTCAGAACACTCTTGAAACAGTTTAGTTTACGAGTTTTTTTGAAAGGTTGGAAAAGACTTGATATGGTAATGATGAGGTTATAAAGTGCACATCTTCAAGAGTCTAATAAGACGGTCAGGAAGCATCGGAAAGGAGTATGGATAAGAATTTGGATAACAATGCATGGCTTCATTGAGCAGCATTCTCGATGTGACATTCGCTGAGTTCCATTGGAAGGTAAGCAGTAACTGGTAATTGAGCACAAATGTTTGAGTGTAATGCTTTGATTAGTGAACTTGAGAGGGGTAACGAAACTCAAAGACTGTCGAATGTGCAAGGGAAAGGAAAATTAAATGGTCGAGAACAATTGCAACAGTGGACAGTAACAATTGGGCGAAGAGGTGCAGGGTTGGCGGCCTAGAATCGGAAAAAGAAGTCGGGGTCGACCGAAAATGAGATGGCCAGGCAATATATGTAAAATAGCCGTGCTAGACATGGATGAGAAGAGCAATTAACTGTGATAATAGTGATAATTGGAGTGATATTGAGGAGGATTATGTAAGAAACTTAGATAAACAGCTGAGCAAATAAATAAATAAATAAACAAATAAATAAATAAATAGGCTCTTTTGAGGATCACGAAGTTTTCAAAATAAATTTGCAATGAAATCATCATAATTTTATCATTTCCCTATTCACCAAATTTCATGAGCGTAGATGATAATAACGATGACAATAAAAACAACAACAATCATCATACTTATCCGTTTCTACGATGCCACGCTGATTACATTTTGTAACGCTTCCATACTACATTCGAATAAGCATGTCAACAAATTGTTGAATGACGATCATTACGAACGCTCAAGTGAAGCACACCGAACATGCTCGGCGTTCATTACATCATTTGTTCCTTTGTTTTAACGTCACACTGCCTAAAGATGCCGGTCCTTTGATAAGAGCTTTTAGGAGTTTACATTCTTATTATTTAGTGCGCTAAAATGCCAAAATTAACTTCAGTTCATTGCTTCAAATTATCTTAAACAATTTCACTGACAGTCGTTCATTAATGTTCATGAGATTGTTCCTATTTCACAATTCATTGATCACTTAATAATTCAGCTATCAGTACTATTGTTATGGAAGCAAAAGGAATAATGATCACAAAACGCGACGAATGACAATATGTTTGCAGATATCAACATATGGAAGTAAATGTAATTAGTTACAAGCAGGGTGGATGTTAAAAATAAATTTCAACAAGCAACACTTCTCTCATGGAAAACGGACCTTTGAATGTTTCCAACGATCACCTAATGCTACACTTTCTTCCAATGAAAACTAACCATAAGCCTCTGGATGGCATCAACATTCCAACCTCCTTCAACAACTGTTTATCAACATACACACGATGTACTCCGTTAAGCCAGCTCAGACACATCGCAATGAATACGGGAGATTAAATAGCAAAAGCTGAATAATTATAAGTTCACAAGAGTATGATTTCTCGGAAGAAAGAGTGAAAAATTATGTTACGACACGTATAGTTTTGAAAATTTCGTTTCGGTTGAACTTTGAAAGTGTGCTCAAAAGAATCAAGAGGAGTAGCTGAGCGGAATAACACTAACTATCACAAGCGATTGTCAGTTTGCTGGAATTTATTGTGACAAGTTGGAGAAATAGTACTTTTTTTNTTTTTTTGAATGATACGAAAAAAGATCGTAATTTACATTCTTGAACGTTCACGATTCATTTGAACGTTATTATGCTCAGCTGCTCCTGTTAATGTGTCGTCTTTTAGCGATTGCGAGTGCAACATTTTGCATGAAAAAGAACCGTGACTGGATGGATTATTGTACGAATTGACTCGATTCAACGCTAGCAGTTTATCGAATGCAACATGAATGCAATATCTGCTGCGTTCAGAGTGAGAGTTTGCTTCAATTCCAAGAAGATATTAAAAAATCACCGACAAGAGAAGAAGGTTGAGAGAATATAAACGATACTCTGATTTCAGTAGAATGAGATGAATTATTGATGCAAGACAGAACCAAAACTTCACTGCATGAATAATCCTCGAAATGTCTGCATATTGAAGTAGTTGAAAGGATCGAATCAAGTTGTGAGAAATTCAACACAAATTTTGCATATGAATCTTTGGAACGCCTCTTTCAAATACTCTTCAATTGAGCGAATTTTGGCACAGTCGGTTGAAATTCGTTGGAATAAGTCATACAACGTTTCGTTATCACCGACCTTATCACATTCAAGAAAATTT